ACAACTCTACGTCTTCGAATTCGCGAAATGTGAAATATTATTTGTGTAATCCTAATTTAAATATCAGCTGATACCGAAACCGAAACTTCGGTTGCGTCAGGCAATATTGGTGTCGGGTCGTCAAAGTCATGGCCACGTCACGTCGAACTACGTGGTCTTCTGACGATCGGGAGGGAGCGAGAAACAGGACACGCGACGCGGGGAGGTGGGGCGGTGATGACCCGGGGGAGAGGGGGGAGGGGAGAAGACGAAAGAGGAAAAGGGGAGCGGAGAAACAGACCGATAAGCGCGCAGGGCAGTGCAAACTAGCGCATCCGCGTGGGTGGTTCTCATTTGAACCCGTTCGCATTTCTACCTTCTCGTTTTTGCCTTCTCATTTCAACCCAACGCAAAACAACTTTCGCGTTTCTCACTTTCTCATTTAAACCGCTCTCAAAACAAACTTTCGGGTTTTGACCCTTCTCAAAACGACTTTTCTCATCTTAATCTTTCTCATTTAAAATTTCTCAAAACATACTTTCTGGGTTTGACCATTGTCAGAAAGGCTTTTCTCATCATGATCTCGCAATCTTTCTGCTCTATTTATGGCGAATTCGGGTAATTAATTGCCTTCGAGCCCTTGCCTGTGGCACCGGCGACCAAAAATGCGCCAGCGGCGCATCACGTGACCCTCTCCACCCAAATGCAAAGCACAATGAACTGGCGTTTTTATTTGACTGGGTCGCGAGTGAGCTCTGTTAATTTCTTCTTCGATCATTCCATGGTACCATGAGCACGCTGCATACGCCAACAACATAAATTACAACATAAATTACGACTCTTTGAGATGTGTGTAAACAGAAGTGGCTTCACAAAACTTTTCAAAATATTGGCATTACCACAGTCCGTACAGCTGACAGAATATTAAAATATAAAATCAATGAAAGGGCAGATGTATAAATCAGTGTGGTGCTGCCCGCACGCGCGTCAGATTTCAATAAACTTTGTTTGGATTTTCGATTAACTGTTGCCACGGAGGCTTGCCAGCGTCGCTTTCCATATTCTGTTTACTGTTAGTAGAGAGTTTTAGTAGATCGTTCCCATGACTCCGATAACGATACCCGATACTCCGCCACCGCCTCCCATGCGCATGCATAGTATCGTTATCGGGGCTATCGGGGGTATCGGAACGATCTACTAAAACTCTCTAGTACCTTTTTTGGAATCCTCAGTCTTCTCATTGCACCCACCCTCCTTGAAATTGTAATGCCTGTTCAAGTTTCAAACTGCATCACTATGCATACCTTTTTTTCAGCGGTGTAATAACTTGTTATTACAGAGTTGTAAAATAAAGTGATGTATGATGCAGCCTGTGTCTCAGAGCAAACATACCTTGCTCAGGCTGGATAAATTCATCCAAAAATGTTGACTTTTTTTTAAACATAAATTATCTTTCCCTTTGTTGTTTTTGCTATCTTGTCTCAGAGCACAAAAGGGTGCCTGTCTCGATGGCTTCGTTTGCCACTCGAACCCACTATTTGCCGCCTCAGCGAGCATTGTTTCGTTTCCCGTCACGTCCCGATTCCGTCACATCCCGATTCGGATGTGACGATACCGGATATAGTCTGGCAGACAAGCTGCCCGACCTCTTGGAGCTCGGGAAAACTTCTGCTGGTAAATTGCCGGTACACGCCTGAGAAGCGCAACCCGAAAAGCTTGCACCCGCCAGCCTTTGACCACGCGAACGTCCTTGCCGAAGATATGGGAAAACTTTTTCTCAGGGAAAATGACCACCCGAATTGGCCATTACAAGCAATAACACACGACTAGCACAATGATCCATCCGCTCCACACGACGGCATCTTAACGAAATACAGCGACAGAAGAGAAATGAAGTACCCAATCTGCGCTAGCACTTTTGAAACCACCTCACCATGTAACCACGTAGCTACGTCAACAGACTCGGGGTGGCACGCAGGCATAAGGAAAATTGTTTCATGTGCTATGCAAGAGATGGTGCCGCTTCGCTTCATCTTCAAGCTTCATCCTCAACTGTTTTTCCTTCTTTCTATACCTCACTACACTATTCAAATGACAACGGGTTCGAATGAGAAAGGGTCGAAACGCGAAAGGTTAAAACGCGAAGGGCGTTTTGCGAATGGGTTCAGACGAGAAGGGATCAAATGAGAATGGGTTCAAACGAGACGGGTATAAATAAGAAAGGGTCGAAACGCGAAAGGTTAAAACGAGAAGGGCGTTTCGCGAATGGGTTCAGACGAGAAGGGTTCAAATAAGAATGGGTTGTTTCGAAATACACCCATCCGTGTTACGGTGATCACATGAACGCCCGGTCAGCCAACACCGGGAGGAGAAGCTCATGACGTCATCGTTCAATTTCGCTCTGAGAAGTAAAAACAAACAAAACGTGAGAATGACGTAGTCATGCCTCTGACGTAGTAGCTCAATGTCGGCTGCTCCAACTCCGTGGCATTGACTCCGCTGATAATGGCGCCTCGCGCCGCACGCTAGAGTTGGCAGATTTCGGCGACTTGGCTCGCTTGAAGGTTTGCTGGCCAGTTTATTAAATATATAAACGGAATTAGATCGCAATATTTGACATGGGGTCTTCCTATATGATACTGAAGAGGGCTACATAGCTTTCTAAATATCAAAAATGAAGCGGAGTTGCCCTTTAACGGCGAAGCTTAAGCACCCTCGAAGTTTTTCTCTGTTCGCATGACTATGGTCTGGTTTATTATACCATATGGGTGACAGTTATTGGATATGATATGGGTCATTGGAATGACACGCTCAACTAAGTTGGCTAGCTTATTTTTGTAGAGAGTCTAATTTTCATAGACTGTTCGTTCCTCGAAATTAACAAAGAACGATTGGTAGAAGTCTTCGAGGCATGAGTTGATGGACACGTAGTCGGCTCTGGCGTAATCGCGAATATATTTGCAAAAGTCTGATTTCCGAGGTACAGGGAGAGAGAGTGTTACATCGGTCACAAGATGGTCTCGAATTCCTGGTAAAACTGATGAAAAGTGAAGGATATCCTGGCTTGTGCACAAGTCGAGTATATCGCTGCCGAAGTCCGTAATTCTTGTTGGCTGGGTAATTATATATGTTCGGTTGTAATCTAGGCAAAGGTCTATGATTGAGTGGAAGTGGATCAGAAGGTGGACCACTTAATAATCGGGTAATTGAAATCACCAAGAATGCAATTAGAAACATAGCGTAATCGAAAACCACTACATCAGTGATCTCTGTAAAGGCCGAGCGCGCGGAAAGAGCAATAGTGCGCCAAAGTTACCGCTCGTGCAACAGGCACAAGGCTATCGGTGAGAAAACGCGGACGATACAAGTGGAAGAAACCACGCGGGCACTTTATCTTATCGGTAGTTGCGCCTGCTGCATGAGTGGTAATTAACTTTAGCGCTACCGTGCTTTTCACGTGCTCCAAGTCTTTGTAAAATTAACCGATTCAGTGGTTTTTAATAACGCTCGGCATATGTTTCTAATCGGAACGATATGTCTATTTCACCAAATAAAAACTTAATTGACATATTTGAGTTAATTAACCGGCTTATCGGGATGATTTGCCTTGTGCACTATGCCCTCCTAGCCGTATAACTCACCGGCACAAACTGCATTATTGTAACTTTCACGACTTCTTTTTAAAGAAATCTGCAAAACCTAAAAATATATTTGTACCATCGGCACCGGCGAAACTGTGCCTTAGAAAAACAAGAAAAAACAAACAAACAAAAAACTTATGTTTATTGTGATCATAATTTCATGCGAAAGCGAGAGCAAGTTATATTCTCGTCAACCAATCGGACAAGAAATACAACCCCAATGCATGTAATACCCATGTAACACGGGCAGCCTAAATCGCGGTTGCAAAGGTATAAGTCGCACCCTCATGAAGACGCACCGACAAAAGTTTCGAAGAAAAACAAAAACGCGACCTTTCCTCTAGAAAGTAGGGCAATCGTAGTGAGAGCGATTTGCTGAGCAGCGCAGCGGGATCCGAGCCCCGGACTACGCGATTCGCAGCCCGACGTCTTTGCTCGGCAACGCAAGGAGGAGGCGAGAGAGAGAGCGCAAGCATGACTTATGAGAGCCTGCAACAGGCGGCGACTGTCGACGCGAGCAGCCTGCAGCTCCCGAATATTGAAGCGTAGCTCCCCGAGTGATTTTACGACGTCGCGGGTCCCGAAAAAATTTGAACTTAATTGTCTCGATCATTTTGATAAATCCGAGGAGAGAATGAGTGTGTCATGCGTGGAACCCATCCGAATTCAAGCAAAGCTCTCCCTAACCAAGCCTAACAAATCGCAACGCACGCATGACGCCTGCAGGACTCGGGCAGTACGTTAGAGAAACGCCTAACTTGACCAAACTATGTGGCAATTTTCGGGGCCCAATTTTGGCCCAATTCGGGCCCAATAAGGTTTTGCTTCGAGGCGTTAGTTAGTGCCAAAGTACATTTCTTTGGCTTTTCTTTGGTTCGCTATATAATATCTAAAGTACCAGATATGAGCCAAGAATACCACTCATTGGCCAAGCATCCTTCATAGCACATGTTTGGCAATTGAGGTCCATAGTTGCTAGGTGGAAACCGAACAAGCAGAAAAAAGTCACGCGACAACCGAACAACCAGACAGTGAAGCCTGAATCTGGTACTTGTTTGGCAAATTAGGGCCAACGTACCGACTCTCGCCAAAGATTGTCAATTTAGGCTCTATCTTCGCTTTCAGGAGCTTTTCGGAGCCCTAAAGTGCAAGACGAAAATCAGATTTTGGCCCAGAGAACTTTGATACTTGGGGACACATTTTCTCTTTTCCGGGTTTTTTGAATGATCAAGATAAATTTAAAGATTTGAATCAAGATCGTAGCAACATGCCCCATGAAAGAGGACCACACCCTTCCCGGCTATCCTCCCTTCCTCTGAACATAGCCAAACAAACAAAGAAACAAACCTCGAGGAAATCTCACGGAAACACCTTCCGCAGCCGACGATGGAGGCTTCGAGACCGGGGTGTACAACAACACAGTCTGCCAGACGCCCCACTTGGTCGAGCTGGCCAAAAGAGGAGTGGTCTTCGACAGGGCCTTCACCTCCGTGAGCAGCTGCTCCCCGAGCAGGGCGTCCCTGCTCACGGGGCTCCCGCAGCACCAGAACGGCATGTACGGACTGCACCAGGGCGTGCACAACTTCCAGTCCTTCCCGCAAGTGCGGTCGCTGCCCGGGATCTTGGCACAGCATGGAATCCGGACTGGTGAGCGATATTCTCGGGATATGACCAGGGTTCCTTGTTTTCTGGGTTGATTTTTCCCCACAAAAATCTTTTTTTTTATGGTGTCTGTTTTTGGCGACGATAAAAAAAATACAAAAGGAAAATGGGGCTGTTTCTACGCTGCTGCTGCAGACTACGTTGAAATGCGATAGCGCTTGACGTTTCTTTTATGAAGGCCATATTCCGTTGATTTAATTGACACGAACCTCGTTCTTTCACTTAGCTCTTGGTCGTAGCAGAACGAGGCCAAGTTGCTTCTCCGTCCATAGACGTTTTAAGTACGGCCTCTGGGAGCCGCCATCTTGCTGCCGATATGGGTTGATCGTCTGATAGTTCAGCATTGCTGAGGCCGTGGGTACGCCTCAGCAATGCTTGACTATCAGATGATCTACCCACACCAGTAGCAAGATGGGGGCGCCCAGAGGCCGTACTTGCAAGCGTCTATAGCCAAACGCTGCTTCTTGCGATGCGCTGTGAAGACGTTGTTCTTGTTGAGAGGCATTGCGAAGAGGACCAGAACATCTCCAGCAAGGTACGACTTTTAACATTGGGTGGATGAATGGATAGATGGCATTAATTGTATCTTTCGTATCGGGTGGTAGATTGCACCACCTATAGCGTAGAGACGGTTACACCTCTCCCTTTTAAATTTAGCTATACATTCTACCTTTCGTTAAATAATCCACCTCATCGATTGTGCGTGTTATCACGCTTCTCTAGGCCCTTTCTACTAATCTCCTCACCTACTTTTTGTGATTATAAACCTTCGCTCCTCTGTTTTCCCGTTCTCAACAGCAAAACCCAGCAATCCCGCAAAATCCGTGACCCCTCTAGAGAAGGCAGGACGATGGCTCGTGCACTTCAAATCCACATAACCTAGCATCTCGCTATCACTGTGGCATACGGCGCATATGTGTGTTTCTTAAAATTGAACCCTATACGTACTTGTGTTTAACTTTCCTCTTCTAGCCTAAATCAGTAAAACGCCTTTTCGTGAATTATCAAGCACTTATTCCTTTATGTCTCTTTTTTATCTGTAGTTCTGTAAATTGCTAAAGCTGATTTATTTTGCATACTTCCTTCCCACAATTTTTCCTCTACTTTTTTTCTTCTCTTTTCCACTGAACTAGTCTGCTCGACCTCGTACAGGTGTGTAAGTATTTAAATATGAGATTTCGAGCTCGGTTCGGTCATTTTGTGTTAAAATTGGTCGTGTATAATTGTTTGTATCCTTTCCGTGCCTATCGTGTATCCTCGACTTATTTAAACTATTGTTCAAATTGCAGTTTCATAATTGCCCCTCTGCTCTTTTAAGGACAACCAGCCCATGTCCCCTGTACCCCCCCATTTGGTGTGTTCCCATACGGTCCCATCGTCAATCTGAGCACGTCCTTTGTAACATCTCCAATCCTGCTTGAATCTTCAACCCTGTTGCCAAAAGATAGTCCATGCATAATCACCCCTTCGCATATAACTCTCACCACTTCATAATTCTACGGCCTTGAGTTTCATTCTAGCTTAATTTATTTCCCCTTTTTTTAATTATATTTCCTCCGTGTTCCTCTAAATATTTCCTCCGCCCATTGAGCCGTATACCTCCAGCTATTTATATTTTTCTACATGGTCCATTACAATTTCTTGTATGTTAAGGGGTATATATATTATCGTCATTAAGACCATTGCTCCAGACGCCCTATTTCCCCCACCAGTGTCCCGTCTAAGCTCCTGGAGCATATACGTTACTCAAATATCATGCACTTTCGACACTCGCAAAACCTTCTTTTTGAGCATCAGCATGGATTTCGTTAATCATACTTGTGCGATTCACGACTAACAGCATTTCTCACCGACATTTATTCAGATTTTGATTCCGATGTTCAAAGTGACGCAAGTTTCATTTTCTTCTCCAAGGCACTCGACAAAGTCCTTCATCAATGTCTTTTACAAAAAAAAAAAAAAAAAAATATATATATATATATATGTATATATATATGCATATATTCACGCTTTGTTGTCAACTCGACCTTTGAATTCCCGATTAATCACACCCAATGCTCTTCCATTAACAACGTGGTATCTCCGACCTGTACGGTAACGTCTAGAGTCCATCAAGACTGACGATTGCGTAATACCTATTCATTTCCACAATAGACCGATTTCATCTGCGAGGATCGCTACGCCGCCACTGCCAAAGCATCGTGAGACTTTAGTCTCTCTGCAGCGGGGCTGGTGTGGTTGCGGGCGAAGATGCAGTGAAGATTTGACGGACGGCCAGTCTCGCACGGTCGGCGTCAACAGTGTCGTTCCATCGAATTGTTATTCTTTTGCTCCGCCTTTATGGTGGGTTTCACCGGTTGCATCCCTGGCTGCAGCAACAACAGCATCAGACGCAAGGGTGTCGGGTTTGATAGCTTTCCGAAAAACCAGCAGTTGAGCTGAGAAGAATAAATTTCCAAAGTTCGCCGAGTACGACACCTCCGACCCAAGCGTCCAAGCAAACAAGATTGGAGGCAAGCGTACGATCGCGCTTGCCTCCAATCTTGTTTGCGTCCCGATGCGTCATCTCGTGTTCGGCACTCATTCGTTAAACACGCGACCCTTCTTTACCCTTTCCATACCGCTGTTTTCTACGTTTAAAGTTTTTCCAAGTTTATACCCACGACTGGCCATACAAACCGAAATTTTCAAGCTTTTTGTCATAGTCTTTGCTCGTTCGCCAAGTGCACGCGGGTAAACGTTCTAAGGACACAGCCGGCGAGCGGGTGGCAGGAAATGTTTTAAAACCTGATTCGAAAGTAAAGGCAACGAACAGAAACATGAAATAAACTAACATTGGTGCAGCTCATTGTAAACTAATGCCTTGATTACAAACATACCATAGAATTGTTTCGCCAAAAAAGAAAGTCCCACTATGAAAAAAAAAAAAAGCTGCGCGGCGTTTAATGCATCACAAAGCAGAGACAACGTGATCAAAATGTCCACAAGGGCAAATGTTGCTCAGCATGTTTGTCAGCAAACCGTCAAAGAATTTACGTTGCAGGAGCGTACACTAAACGCTAGCCTTATCTTTAACAAACAATCTTGCGGGGTCTTTCTGGTCACATCGCCAAGTGTCGGGCACAAACGATTGCGCAATGTTGATTGTTTCTTCCTGTGGCGTGTTTATGAACGAAACCACACGCACATGCAAATCAAACCCGCCACTAACATGCATGCCGCTGAAGAAACAGCGTCACGCCTCAATAAGGGCGTAGTTAATCGGTGATACGTCCTCTCAAAAGGGATTGATAGAACTTGTGGCGATATTGTACACTATATTCCCTCTAATAACTGCAAATGAACTTTGGGATAAAAGTATCAGACAAGCCGGTGCTCCTTCGAGTGGGTCGCGTGTTCAAAAGCCAGGGACTGAAAAAGAAATTGGGCAGCATACCCATACTTCCTTAGAGTGAAAAAAAAAAAAAAAAAGTGGAACACTTCTGTTTGTTCTGGCGGTGTCGTCCGTCACCGAGGGAACATGACGACGGTGGCAGCTAGGCTTTGAACCTGCGTGTACACACAGCCTCTTTGCTTCCGTCGCGTCCGTGGACTAAAGTTATGGCGGTACCCAAGGTGGCTTGCTCAAGTTCGCGCACGCACCGTACGGTGGGTGAAATCGGTCTATCGGTGGGAATTTTTTGAAGTTTTCGTTGAAACACCCGGTGTAGCCAGGCAGTAATGTGGGAAATTTCCACACAGAACCGAAGCACACGTAAGATGCCCTGGCTTGTATTCTATGACGAAGAGAACTTTTGCAAAGCTTGCAGCGCAGTCCAGGGCACCGAAAAAAAAATGCCGGGAACTGGTTGTATAGAACCGGCTATGGTGAACGTTTATTATATGCTGGTATCATCTTATGTCGTTTGACAGCCCTTCGATGCAGAACGCAAACGTTTCCAAGTATTTCCTGCTTCGTGCATTTCAGGAATTGTGGGAAAGAAACACGTGGGTCCGGAGGTGGTGTACCCGTTTGACTTTGCCCACACCGAGGAGAACAACTCGATCCTGCAAGTGGGCCGGAACATCACCAGGATCAAGCACCTCGTCCGGAAGTTTCTCTCTGCCAACGAATCCAAGTAGTGTAATCATTAAGCTCTTATGTTTTTGGAGATAGCGTATTTCTTACCAATAGGGTGCTAACTTTCACGTCTTGTACAATGGGGCTTCGACAGTTCCTCGAGATACCCAGTCTAAAAACATTTTTCGGAATATTCAGGCTTTTCTCTTCCCGTCATGTTGTTTATAATAACATGCTATAATAATATCTTAATTCCAAAGATGGAACTGAAAAATAATGAAAGCCCTGCAACGCCGAATTGGAGCGCAGCTCTTGAGGAGGAGTAGGGAAGGGTACTGAGAGGGTTCACGTCACCTGCGGGTAGTCACGTGACCCCGGGGGGTCACGTGACCTCGGGGGGGGGGGGGGGGTCCGTGACCTGGGGAGGGGGCGGTGGTGTTCTTATCGACTCATGCCGCGATGTTATCGGCTGCAGGGCGATCATTAGATGCTCGACACCACTGTGGAAGTAGAGAGAGGTGTCTGAACGAGGCCAGGAAGGGGTCGAAGTTTCACCGAGGCTTCGCTCACCTCCCGGCAGGGGCTGTGTGCGCGACTGCTGAGCGCGCGCTGACGGCGACCTTCCACGGTTCTTTTGAAACGTGCATTTCACACCGCCAAGATTGCCGGTCTCAGCAACCTATTAATTTGAGCTCGTCCTGAGCATGCGGTCTAAACAGCGACCGCCAATATGACGCCCAGTGAATGCTCCCTCTACACGAGGCACAAGTTCGCCTGCTCCTCCCGCACCTCGTGCGTTTTAACCCCCAAATGCGCCCAGGTGCGTTTTTTCCCACCGACCTCAACCAATGACGGCGTGAGCTTTGGCCGCTTCGCCATCACGCGTTCACTACGCGTTATCTATGTTGCCTTGTGATTGGCGGGCCCCACTTCGCGTTCAGATGCGCCAAAGACGCGTTTTGGAATATTTGCTCGCCGTATAGAACTCCCGCGCAAGCGAGGTTCGTGCGCTCTGTGCGCGCGAATTACGGTTCCTCGAGCCCCTTGTCACGTCGCGCATCCCGCCACGTATGCCAGAAATGCGAGCGAACCTTCGACACAATTGTTTCATGACGAGGCGGCTCTGTTCGGACATATTTTTCTGCTTCCAGCGTGCTCGAGACTCGGTCCCCCCGGCGTTCCTGAAGTTCGCAAAATGATTTGTAGGCCTAGTTGGTTAGACATTACGCAAATAAAAAGCGCGAAAGACAAGGACAAGAGGGAGACTACAGAGCAGACTAGCAGCGAAACAGCAAGAGACAGAACTTCAGGACTCACAAGCAGGTCGCTCGACCCAACCCAGGAACGAGAGCCTCTGTGAATACTGCGAGGAGACCGCCTCGGAGACCCACGTCTTCTGGGACTGTCCCTGCACTCAAGAGACGAGACGGAAAACCCTAGAGGCATTACCACACAAAATGTGACCGAATAGCCTTGAAGAATGGGTCCTGCCCACTGGATCCCCAGAGCATCGCAAGGCAACACTCGATTCCCTCCTCACATACGTGAAGGAGGCCAAACTAACAGAATTCATATAAAAAAAAATAATATAAACTCATTTGCTCAAAGAAGACGACTTAAGTCAGGATCGGCGAGCGTAAATCACCTTTTTATATTTATATTAAAGACATTTTCTAATCAACCAACAGGACAAGCGCTTACTCGCAACTGACGTTTTAATTCGGCAGATCAGGACGACGATATTAAAGACCCTAATGTTAAAATTTACAAATATTTATGAGAAAGGAGTCAAAGGATCTGAAAAGACTGAGAATTAAAAAAAGGTAAAAAAGGAAATTAGTAAAAACAATAGGAAATGGTGGGCATGATTAAAGTAACAGTGAAAGAAATGACAGTAAGTATATTAAGAAAAAGAGAGAGGAAGGTAAACCAAATTAAGAATATCTAAGGAAAATATTTCATGTACTCTAATTCTTTTGATGACAAAGTCACCGAAGGAGCACTGATGCAGGCGTCTCCTTTGGTCGCAATGACTTCAGCCTCAAAAATCTTTCGAGTTCGCTTATCTGGACACCTCTTCAGAATCCTTGTACTGGTTTATGTGGGACAGTCGGGAACATGTATAAACGTAAGGCTCAGAGAGCATGCGCTATCTCTGAAATCCTCTCCGTCGGGGCATCTCGCTCTACATGTGAGGGACTGTGGATGCGCCCCGCTACTGTCCAGCACAAGGATCCTGAGGAGGTGTCCAGATAAGCGAACTCGAGAAATCCTTGAAGCTGAAGTGATTGCGACGAAAGGAGACGCCTGCATCAGGGCTCCTTCGGTGACTTTGTCATCAAAAGAATCAGAGTACATGAAACATTTCCCTTAGATATTCTTAATTTTCTTTACCTTCCTCTTTCTCTTTTTTCTTATTTTTTTTCACTGTAACTTTTTTCACTGTTACTTTAATCATGCCCGCCATTTCCTTTTGTTTTTACTATTTTCTTTTTTACCTTCTTTAATTCTCAGTCTTTTTAAAGCCTTTCACTCCTTTTTCATAAATATTTGTAAATTTTAATATCAGGGTGTTTAATGTCCTCGTCTTCGTCATCTTCCGAAGTAAAAGGTCAGTTGCGTGTAAGCGCTTGTCCTGTGTAGTCCCCCTCTTGTCCTTGTCTTTCGCGCTTCTTATTTTCGTAAAGTTGTAAAGTTTCTGAAGTTGTCAGTGACAGACATTGTGGACCCTTTTCAAAAGTTCATCGAGCAACAGTAGCGGTCGCCATTTCTTGGGCACGAAGCGTGTGATTGGATACGAGCCCTTGCCGAACGCTGACGTCAGCACTCGTGTCCAATACGTGCTCGGTGCATGATCCCCAGCAATGGCGGAGAGGCAATGGCGCGAACTTTTGAAAATTTTGTATCGTGCTTCCACGCGTACGAGTAAGAGCAGAAGGGTCGAATTTTTTTCGCAGGCCATTTTTTCTGTACGTGGCCTTTCATGACCCCCACCGTTGCGGGCACACGCACCCGGAGTACGGCCAGTTCTGCGAGAAGTTCGGCGACGGCAGCATCCCGGGCATGGGCCACATGCCGGACTGGACGCCGCAGCGCTACGAGCCCGCCGACGTCAGCGTGCCTTACTTCGTGCAGGACACTCCGGCGGCCAGAGAGGACATTGCCGCCCAGTACACCACCGTCGGGCGGATGGACCAAGGTGACGTCAACCTACAGAAAAATGAGATATGCACCCGTACAATCCATATCCCTTATTACCGCACGAAGACCCGCACAAAGAGACGTCTGAAATTTATTTAAAAAAAAAAATTCACACAAAGTTAGGCCGCAAACCAGCTGGTGATGGTTGAACATAGTCTAAAACAAAACCCCAAAACTAAAAAAAGAAAAAAAAAAAAAAAAAAAACCGGAGGACGACACAACAATACAATGTCTCAAACAAGTTGTGCTGTGTTTGAGACTGTGTTGTTGTGTCGGCCTTTGGTTTTTCCCCAGTTTTATATTATAATCTATTGTTTTTATCGGTGGACTTCACAATTTTAAGTGAGTCAAGACAGTCTACCTTAGCTTACACACATATTATGGATCTATAACACGCCGAATATAGTCGGTGTTGTGCACGTGTACATAAGATATCACTGATTAGAACATTTTTAAAGACGGGGAAGTAAACAATGCCATTTGAGTGCAATTTGACAGGAAAAGTACGATAGGCAGCCATGACCAAACATTAAATTGCTTGGGGTAAGGAGGTGGGGTTGATGTTTTTAGTTTTTATTTTGCCAGATCCCCCAAAAGTCATCTTGGGGATGTGCCGTATCTCACACCGCCTGCTGATATGTCACACCGCCTGGTGATAGTTACAAAAATTGCAGAGGGGAAGCAAATCGGTTTAGAAGGGGGGAGGAATCATACTTTCGGTTTTTACTTTCTAGGCTAGGTGGCGCAAGCTACCGCCTGCTATAAAGGCACAGCCGTTAGCGTTCATACATCCATCCATGACCCGTACGTTCTCAATTAAGAAAAACGCTTATAAAGAGTCATATAGTTATTTTATATGATATTATTTGATATAAGTAGAATAGGTGCATATGTTTCGTTTTTCTTTTAATAGGGCAGAAATAGGGCAATAGGGCACAACAACTACTTACCTACACACAAAAAAAAAAAAAAACGAGGTTGTCTTGCCCAGCATCGGTCCTGCGCCTTCGTTTCTGAAACAAATGCCTGGACAGACATTTGCGACGGTTTCGTTTCCAGCAACTAGAACGGCAGACGACAAAGCAACCAGGAAACCAGTTTGCCGAATGGACAATTGCAAGCATGGCGCCACAAGTGGTGCCCCATGCGTGCAAGCGCGTGCAACGCGCGGGTGAACGTAGCTTTGGCAAGCTCGTAATCGCACGGGCGTGCCTGTTCGAGCAGAGACATGGCGGCGGCCAGTCGCCCAGCTTGCAATCGTCTATACACTAGGGTGCCTCAATGACCTTCTGCTTACAGTGATGCCACCCTTTGTAGTACCCGATGCCGACAGCACGCGCTCACGGGGAAAATACAAAAAAATCAACGAAAACAAAATGTCGCCATAGTACAGTCAGCGCCACAGACGCGTGCAGGGACACGCTCTTTCACGCGCTTCTGAACAAAAAATAAATGTGAAAGTGGGAACAAAACGGCCAGATGTCTCAACCCTAAGCGAAGCGCACATGAAGGCACCCTAGTATACACAACGTGGCGAGCAATGCAAGTAGCACCTTGGAGAAACAATCGTGAGTCACGGTTGTCCCGGTGAATGTGACGTTGTGGGCATTTTGGTTGCTGCGGACGCAACCGACGCAAATGTCTAAACCAGTCATAACACCTCAAGCTGGAGCTTATGGCGTTACGCTAGCGCTTGAACCAGTTAGACTGCAAGCGCGCATAGGCTGCATGAAACGGAGTAACTATACTCGTTTTCACCTTAAGGGGGGACATGGCCTGGGAGGGTCAACTTTTTAACCATTGTCTCAAAGTGATTCAAACTTTCAGGGTGAATTGAACCCCATTAGGATTGATGACATCTAAAGTTTCAGCCTTATAGGCCAATTCTACCACATACTATGCTTAGCAAGCTCCAGAAAAAAGTTACTTTATTAGGAAATGTATTTAAGAAAAATAATAATTGAAATCCACAAAATGTTTAGTTTAATGTGAAGTAGAATACCCATAGTGCAAGTTAAGGTAAAAATTAACTGTAGAAAATGTGATTCTAGAGAAAGACAATAACACCCAAAAAGAGTGAACGATTTTAACAAATTTGTGAGTTTTAAAATATTCAGTTTTTGTCATGAAGAACTTAGCATTTTCAGATTATGAGTACCTTAACTTGTTCCTCAGGAAATTTGAGTCAAGGACAACACTGAATGAAATCTTTACACTTTCAAAATGTCCAATGATACATTTCCTCATACCCCATTTCCTGCCAAAAAGTGAAACTGAGAAAAATGCATTTGAAGTTTCAACTTTAGGTTTCTTTATTTTTTATGAGTCCGAGGTAGGCAAAATTCACCTGGAGCATTGTTAGCACCTTCGTCTTTGAACATCTGTTGTTCCCCTGGCAATAGCTTCCAGTTTGTGTTGTTTGTAGGCGTGCTAACTTTTGTAGCAGGCATTCCCTGACAGATAAGCTGACAGGAACTAAGAGGCAAATCACACTGAGAAAGAGCAGCAAAGCAGGAATAGGATCTGAAGTGGAAGATACTGTAAAGGGGCGTTAATGAAGACGACAAAATATCACGTCACTGGGAGGGACCAACCGTAAACCCTGTTTCAGGTGTCAACCAATAAAATTGCTCATACCAAATTTTCAGAATTTTTTCTTTTTGGATGTATTGGGTCCTCCTGGCCATTGATACCTGTAAACTTCGAAAGCTTCTACGGGCTAAATCTAGAGTAAATGGCACTTCCAATGAGGGTGAAATGTTCTGGCTAGGTTAAACGAGTATGATGCAGTGCTAAATAAAAAACACAAAAAACTTGCTTCCTGCTGACTCGGAGGGCTGCCGACATGTCGAAAATAATTTATTCTGAGATAAATCCTGCATGTTTATAAATGAAAGTTTCTGAAACCATTCTTTGGAAGTTAATAAGCATAAACATATCCTTTTTGAAAAAACATTTTTTTCTGAAAATTTTGAATTCCGAGGCCATGTCCCCCCTTAAGAAAAGAGTGGGCGTGTCCCTTTCGTCGCATGCTTATTGGCCGCATGCCGTCGCACATATTATTCCGCTCTGCGAAGTAGTTCCGATAAACGTTTGCTCTCTGGGAAGCTAGCGTTATTTAAGCTTAAATAAATTTGTTAATCTCAGTAGAATAAATAAAACACCTCCTTAGTACGGCTGTATTCACTTAATTCAACGCCTCACTAGATCTGAGGATCGATGTTCGTAGCCAGCCGGCCAGCCGCTGTTGCTCGCCTTCCAAAATGGCGACTCCAACAACTCTGGCTGATCGGTCCGTGAAGTCAGCACTCTTTCCTGAAGACGTTTCCCCTCGGGTGTACTACAAACGTCACGCAAGTGGAAATGTCCTGTCGAGCCAGACAAGGCAGTGTGTTTTGAACGTTTATTCTTAAATGCGGCGGCAGTACCAAAAAAAAAAAAAAAAAAAATGAGGTGGAAGTTGTCAACCTGACTGCCGCCGCAACCGGGATCAGTGTTAGCTCGATCTACGAGATCAAGCGTGGCTTTAAACGTGCCAACGGAGCTGTGAAATCTCCTTCAAAGAAGCGCCCGAAATTTGCTGAGAAAAGGAAGAGGATTTCAAATCACGACGCGTGCACTTTGACGGCCGTGAGAAGCTGCCTGCGCAATTTGTTCCGTCGGGGGGAGATTCCAACGTTGAAGCAAATCGCCGCTCGTCTCCAAGAAGACAACGTGCTGCCGTCCTGTTCCGGGTCTACGCTGTATCGCCTGCTGAAGGACATGGGTTTCGAGAAACAGAAACGAAATCGCAACTCCTTCCTAATTGAGAGAGAGGACATCGTCGAGTGGAGGCGGCGGTATTTGAGGGCAATCGGAAAGCGCAGAGCCCAGAACCGCAAGATGAGACTTGGGTGAACGCCGGCCTTACAGTTGACAAGCTGTGGACCCACAGCACCATAAAGTCAGCAAGGCAAGCCTTCATGTCTGGACTGACGACCGGGTTAAAGGTTCCTTCTGGAAAAGGTGAAAGAGTGATTGTCACCCACGCAGGTAGTGACACTGGCTTCGTGTCCGTCTGCCTGGACGTGTTCCTTTGGAACAAAAAGGGGACTACCACGTTCAGGGATGGGCAAAATACATGCAAATATGTATCGAAATACAAATACAAAATACTTCGTCCAAAATGTATTTATTACAAATGTAATTACATTTCCAAAAAAAGGATTTAAGTACAAGATACAAATACAACGAAATGTATTTGGTCTCCTCCAAATACTTTTCCAAATACATTCCTCAAAATTTGCGTCACCGACTTCAGGGCATCTGCAACGGGTTTCTGGGTATCTGATTTTAATTTTGCATCTCACATTCGGGAGTTAGTGTGCGAGGCTCTAGTAACGTACTAGAAATATAATCACACACACACAAAAAAAATTAATCAGCTTGGACGTAATAGATGAAAAAAGTACAGAGCTTCAAGCAGCTTTTTTTGTCGATTACATTTTGGTATAGACCAACAAAGAACCGAGACGACCAAGACGCGCAGCACTAGCTGGAGAGGTTTTTATTGTTGCAACTCGCGCCAGTTACAAAAATCTGGACGACCCGCGCATTTAGAATGTTCCAGGCAAAAACATGGATGGAAATCAGGCTGGAAAGCACCACAAGTTGTCACAGGCACTTATTTTGCCAGTCTGCCTGTAAACGTCGATTTCGTCACTAATCTTGCCCTGGACTAGCACCATAATCACAAAGTCACTAAACGCTTATGCTTGATTGAGAGACACCGCATTCGGTGCAGAAAGTAGTTTTCTTCCTGCTCATGACACGTCTTAGGATGAGCAAAATGAGTCGTGACACTAAATTTGAGGGATGTAATTTCGCCCACAAAATTGTATTTAATTACAATTGTATTTGCAATACCCACGTTTTAGTATTTAAATACACACGTCAAATACATTACCCAATTTGTAGTTAAATACAAATGCAAAATACACAAAGTATATAAAATACGTA